ATAGATAAAGTAGAATTAAAATAGAATAGAAAGTGCTAGAGTTAGAGGGTCAAATAAAGATGGAATAGATGTGTTTTTAGCCATTTCTTGAAGATGGCTAAGGACTGAGCTGCTCGGATTGCGTTGGGCAGGTCATTCCACCAGGAGGGAACAGTTAATGAAAAAGTTCGTGAAAGTGATTTTGTGCCTCTTTGAGATGGCACAATAATACGCCGTTCACTTATTGTCAACTATATTTTAACTATGTTTTCGCCGTTCACTTATGTTATTTTATCTAACATATCTAACAGATTTGTGTCTCTACTGACTTTAATAAAAGTTAGATGCTGTTTATTTACTAGAAAGTGCAGAATGAGGCTCTTCTCTAAATGCGTATAAGAAAATGACAATTACAAATCCATTATATTTGTCTTGGTATTGATAACTGAATGAGTTCTGTTCTCTTAGAGGAGGAAAGGCTTTGATATGGTTGGTCTGCCACTGCGTCGGAGCGAGTCTTCGTGACAGAATCTTTGTACTGAATGGAAGTGATGGCAGTCAGGCAGGCAGCAGTCTCGGCTTCTGTCAGAGGAGTTGTCTTCAGAGAGATGAAAGGGAAATCTGTCCACAAAAATGCTCTGCGAGGAGTGTGTGCGAGAGTGTTTGTCACATATATCACAAAGCTCAGTTTGTCTTCTTTTCATCTGAAGACATACTCTGTTTTTTCTTTCTTTTTTGCATCACTTTTTCAATTTCTTCATCCAACTGAAAAGAGATGACCGTATTTTAAATGGGTCAAATTGAACGATAGAATGATTATAGACAGTGCTTCCAACATCAAATGAATGCATTTGCTTATTTTTTTTCTTAAGTAAGGTTGTGTTTTTTTCCCCTCTAGTTGTTTTGTTTTCTTTGTACTAGCAATGCAAATACACCACACGGTTGAACGCATTTTGGTAAGACGAAAGTGAAATCATTAGCACATTGTTGAACATAAGCAGGTAAGCCATACAATATGGGCTTAGTCTTAGCTTGCCTTCCTTAAAAATACACCTTACAATGATCAGATTATGTTCATAAATCATCATAAGCTCCAAGCATTCACTGAAATTTAAAGTATATGTCCTTAATGACTCACATAGTTTGATGTTTATTGTTCTCTATCCAACATTTGTTATATTCATGGTCAATATCATTTTGGCAGTGCCTTGCCGTGGTATTTATTTGAGGAAGCAAAATCCCTTTTAGGGATGAAGCACCTGGGCCTGGCTGCTTAATGGAATAGCTTTAACATTAAGTAAATAAACAGCTTGCATTTGAAAGGTATGTGTGTATGAGTTTGTGTGTGTGTGTGTGTGAGAGAGAGAGAGAGAGAGAGAGAGAGACAGTGTATTTGTGCTGTGGGGAGGAAAGGAGATACGCCTACACTGGTTAGCTGAAGTTTTGTTGTGGCTTTTAAACTCCGTAATAAGAGTTTGACTTTGGACTTTGTTAAAGGTGAAGTGTGTAATCTCTGCGCCGCTTTTGGCACCAAATGGAATTACACAAAAAAATATTGTGTATGCAATAAATGTAATGCACTAATGTTCATTTGTATGGAAAGGTAACTGATTTCACAACAGCATATATAAAAAACATTGCTTTGGTTGATGATTTATATAAAGGTTTTACTTAAGTACTAATTTAATGGTGCTTTACGTTAGCTTTTTTCAAACCGAGTACAAATTTCCAGGGTGTTTTAAGAATAGAAAGTGCTAGAGTTAGAGGGTCAAATAAAGGTGGAACAGATGTGTTTTTAGTCGTTTCTTGAAGATGGCTAAGGACTCAGCTGCTCGGATTGCGT